CTGTCTGTCTGTCTGTCTGTCTGTCTGTCTGTCTGTCTGTCTGTCTGTCTGTCTGTCTGTCTGTCTGTCTGTCTGTCTGTCTGTCTGTCTGTCTGTCTGTCTGTCAGACAGAATTTTTCAGTGTTTTGCTGTCTGTCTGTCTGTCTGTCTGTCTGTCTGTCTGTCTGTCTGTCTGTCTGTCTGTCTGTCTTTGCTCAGAAAGGCTAGCAAGAAGGTTTTGTAGCCTACCATTTGAATTCAAAGGTAATCCACCTGTTTGCCTTTATCCCAAGGTATTAGATTCTGTCATACCCAGGTAACTCAGTCAAGACTTTATAAGCCATCTCTGGTTCATATGGGGGAAGGTGGGATGAAAATGGGCAGTGGAGATGTAATAATGGAAGCTATGCTAACCAGGATTCCCTCTATCTATATTCAAACTCTGAATTCAAATACAGGTTAGCAGGAAACATTGGTGAGTGTGCATCATGGGTAAGGAGGTAGGAATTTGAACCAGAGAGGAAGGGTTTGATTGAAATGTCTAATTTTGCACAGCCTTCTCCTGTTCCTTTAGGTACAGGTAGCAGGTCTATAGCATTATGTGCACACTAGCCCTTACTTTCATGACTTCTTTAGAGAATGGGAAAAATAGTAACATATGTTGTGAATTTCTGTCAAGAGCAAAATTTGAAGGTGTAATTACCAAATATCAGATTTTGCAATGCTGAGTCCTAAACAGTGTTTCTCTTTCTTTGAACACCAGGGAGAAGTGTCTCCTTCCACTCCAGCTTGCTTTGGAAAGCAAGAACATGAAGCTGGCCCAGCACGCTCTAGCAGGGATGCAGGTACGTTGGGATGACTTTCAGCTCCGTTTGGATCCTTCCATGAATCATCAAAGTGGTTGACTTCAGTATCTAAAGAAATATGTAGTCTGTGTGTAATTTGGGACAATACTTTAAAAAGCCTATGTGTTTAACGCCACGTTATATCAGCGCAGTATCATGTGACTTTTGGTTCCTACTGGTTGCAGACTACAGTCACAGCCTGTCTGCTGTACAAAGGCATTTGCCAAAGATGACAGAAACAGAGATGGAGGATTATCAGACACTTCCTGGACTGCCACATAGAAAACCTTGAAAGGACAGCATATTTATTCCAGATAATTCACTTCTCTTTAATGCTGCAACACTTATGGCATTTAGCATAATTATCTTTTAAGTCATCTAGTTTCCTCCTGGTTTATTGTAGTACAATGACTTTACATTCATGCCAGTATTTGTCATTTATTGTTTTTTATGTAACAGCATTTCCCCTTTTTTTTGTCTTTTCGTTTTTTAAAATTTATTTGTGTACTTTGATCTTCTGCTGTTTTATGCAAAGTAATTCCTATAGATTATTTTTAAGGGTAAATAGAGGGACAGCACATGGGCACCAGTGTTCCCTCTAAGCTGAGTTAGTGTGAGCTAGCTCACAGTTTTTTAGCCTCCGGCTCACAGATTTTTGACTCAGCTCAGGAAGGATGGCTCCAGAGCAAACTAATTTATGCAGCAGCCAAATGGCTGGCTCACAGCTTTAATGCCACCAGCACACAAAGTAGAATTTCTGCTCACAAGACTCCACAACTTAGAGGGAACATTGATGGGCACTATGTGATATTCCCTATTTATAGGACAGGAGTGGTGGTAAGAGTCTTTGCAACATATTTTGTGTGGATATACATTGGTCTTTAATGCATGGTGGATGCACAGAGAAGTGCACAGTACAGGTTTGTATTAGGTAGATGGTGCAATTGTTCCACATGCTGCTCTTTAAAATGGTATTTAGCTGCACATAGGCACACACACTATTCTTGAGGCACTGTCTCACAAAGAGTTGTGTATTTCTTCTAAGGATGATGTGACGCTGAGGACTGACTTAGCATTTAAGCCAACATTCCATTTTTAATTGGTTATAGGACTTCCCCCCCCCATTCTGTAGTATCCCAGAGAACAGCTGCACAATTTAGAGATGAGAAAGGTCTTGCAATTCTAGTTGGCAAGAATATCAGTCATTAGGAGGACAGAATCTTGTTGCCATTTTTGCAGCCCACCTTTGGAAGAAAGTTATCTAGAGCATGTCCACCTAGGTGAATGAAAGAGACTATAGTGGATGCCCATGTGATAGTGTAGAAGGTTTCACATCATGGAATCAGAGTGCACTCAGGAAGGGTGCGGGAGAAAATGATCTCAGTAGCCTTTTGAGAAAAGTCTTATATAGAAGAGATTTGTGTGCAGCATTAGTGGTTAAGAATAGCGGACTCTAATCTGAAGAACTGAGTTTGATTCCCCACTCCTGCACATGCAGCCAGCTGGGTGACCTTGGGTCAGTCATAGTTCTTGCACAGCTATTCTCTCAAGAGCAGTTTTCTCAGAGCTCTCTCAGCCCCACCTACCACACAGGATGTCGTGTGGGGAGAGGAAGTGAAGGAGATTATCAGTCACTTTGAGACTCTGAGTGAAGGGCAGGGTTTAAATCCAGCTCTTCTTTTCCTTCTCCTTCCCCATCCTCCTCCTCCTCCTTCATGCCTGCAAGCTGATGCAGTTATTGAATAGAAGCCCCTAGTTTCAGAAATGCCACAGGAGTCCTGAGGATCTTAGTGCTTTAGTGCATTCCAAGTGTAAAGACTGAAGTTTAGACACCTGGAGAAAAGGGGGAAATTTTGACTTGCTGTGAACGCCAGTCTGTTAGATGTCCAGAGGGCCATCTACTCGGTCATGAATATTAGCTGGTTGGCAAGCACAGGACAGTGCTGCTCAGAGAAGGTCCTCACTTGACTTCACAGCTTATATTTTCTGTTTTTACTTGGTTCACAGGTTTGCCTGTTAGCTGTATATTACAGTTGTTAAGGTGACACAGTTGTATATTACAGTTGTGAAGGTTCTCTGAATTCTTGTCTTTCATTAAAAAAAAAAGTAAGTCTCCATCCCCTTTCATTACAGAAAGCCACTGCTGGGGGAGTGGGACAGGGAAACCTGCCATGTGAAAGCTGCTGCCACTTCCAATACAAAGCAGTGGCAAGTTGACAACAGAGAAGCTACAGAAGTGTCCCCCCAATGTGGAAAACACTCATGTCTTCTGGCCAGGAGGTGCTGCCATCCCAAATGTAAAAGTTGCCTTCTAAACACCTGAATGAGAAGCGGCTTATAGCAATTCCTCCCCTCCCCCCTTTTTGAGGAGTAACCAGGGCTTTTTTTTTTTTTAAGCGGTGCCGGAACTCTCAAGAAGGAAATGAAGTTTTCAATCTGTATACTGAAAAATAAACTTTTAAACAATTTAAAAAGAGATTTGTCAAAGAGGTTCTGGAACTCCATTCTGGTGTGTTCCCCTAGAAAAAAAGCCCTATTTTTGTACAGGAGCAGCCAAATGAACCTGATATGGTATAGTGCTTAGAGCGTTGTACTATAAACAAGAAATGAATGTGCTTTGCCATAAAGCACACTAGTTTACAGTGAGCCAGTCATGTTCTTTCATCCTAACCTTTCTGAGTTGTTGGGAGGGTAAAATGGGAATGGGAGTATAATGAATGTCAGTCTGAGCTCCATGGAAGAACAGTGGAATAAAAATGTAACAGACTTACATAGACAGATATAAAATGTGTCATAGGTGTTTTCCACATGGGGACAGGCTTGTGTAGTTTCCCTGTTGCAGATGTGGCTGCTAAGATGGCACAGTGTCAGTAGGGTTTCCACAGAGCAGGTTTCCCTGACAGTATTTTTTTCCCCAGCCCAGTGTGGGAAATGGCTGGTGTGTGGGTGGGACCAGGAAAATCTGAACTTTTCTACCTACACACAGCCACCCGGGCTTTGCGGTGATCTTTCCTAAAACTTCACAGCAAAGCAGGTTTGAGGTATATTGGAGCAAAGCTTGGGAAACCCTGGAAGATCCATGAATGGCATCACCAATTTGTAGGAAAGCGGGGTGGGGGGGAACCCACTCTCCAACAGCATTGAATCTGGGGCAAATGACCCATGTGACAATGCCCATAATCAGGGCAGATTAACACATGCATGTTAGTCTCTTGGATAATCAAGTGAGGGAAAATTAAATGATGTAGATATATGCATCAGCTGAGCTTGTATGATCCATCAGCACCTTGTTTCTGTTGGTAGAGGATTTGGAAAAGGTATTTTGTATGTAATATGTTTCTTTATAACAGTATTATGTAGCAAGCAAATCAATAGTCCCTGGGATTAAACAGCTCAATTTCTCTTGCAGAAGCTACTGTCTGATGAGAGGTTTGTAACCATGGCAACAGACTCTGATGACAAGCAGTTGCTTAATCAGATGCTGAATGCAGTCAGAGTGACTCCTTCCCTCAACGAAGACCTGCAAGTGGAAG